GGGGGGGGGTGAGCCCTGGATCCATGCTCAGCAGGCCCCATTCAAGCTGGGTCTTACCCCTTTCCTAGCCGTAAACCCTCCCCAAGGGTCATTCCTATCTCTACTGACCTGTCCCCAAAGGCTCCTCTTCATGGGACATGGAGATTCTGATTCCTAGCTGGAAGGGAGAATCCCCGGTCAGGTTCCTCCCACCAGAGGGAGGTTGAGCGGGGCGGGGACCGACGGAAGGGGCAGGAGTGAAGAACTGACTCAAGCCTCACCCTCTGCTCCTGCGCCTTCATCTCCTTCTCCAGCACCTGAGACATGTAGCTCACGGCCAGAATCACGTGGTCCACACCCGCCTGTCGGACAGGACAGCGCCGGCCCACCGGCAGGCTTAGCCAGAGGAAGGGGCGTCCCCACCCCAACTCGCCGGCCGGCCCTCGTGCCACGTCCCCCACGGCCCGGGCCTTACCGCGGCCAGCGCCTCCACCTGGTGCAGCAAGATGGGCTTGTTGCAGAAGTCCACCAGGGGCTTCGGGATGCTGAGCGTCAGCGGCCGCAGGCGCGTCCCGTAGCCGCCCACCAAGATCAGCGCCTTCATCGCGCCTGCGGGCGGCCGGACACTGAGTCCCGGGCTCCGAGGTGTCCGCGGCCCGCCTGGTCGACCCCTGTCGCTCACTCCAGCCGCCGGGCCCAGCCCCGCGTCCTTCACCTGGCAGACTGACCAGCACCTGTCAGTATCTGTCTTGGCCACCCAGGACGCCCTGACGCCGACCTGCGGGCCGCGCCGCAAACCAGGATGCGAGGCTGGATGGAGGGCCGCTGGCCCCAAACTCAGGCCCGCCCGGAGTGGCGGTGACGTAAGCATAGGCGGGCCAATGGGCTGCCGTGTACGTGGCACGGCCGCCGGCGTCGAAGCGCTGGGGCGCGGCTCCGGCAGACGTAGCCAATGAGAGCCCGAGCGCGCCCGGCTGCTATGGGGACCGCGACGGGGCCGCGGGTCAGCTGGCCATTGGCGGATCCAAAGGCGGAACTGGCGCCAAGGGCGAGGCTGCGTTCTCCCGGCGCCCGCGGAGCCCGCCGCCGCCCCGCCGGGGGCACAGGGTGGGGCGGGTCGCCCGTCTTCCAGAAGCCGCGGGTCTTCACAAAGAAGCAGCAGACACGCCTGAGTTTCTAGCGGCTTTATTTTGACATACACGACCTCAGACACAAGCGGGGCGGGCAGCGCGAGGTGGACAGAAAGGGGTGGCTCGGCCCCAGGTCTAAGCACCCCGTCCCCCGCACGCAGCGTCGGGAAGACGCGCAACTGCGCGGGGTCGGGCCGGAGCCACGCGTCAGAGCGGCGCAGGCTTTGGGGGACAGGGAAGTGGAGCAAAAAAGCGATTCCCAGAGGCGCAGCCTTGCGGTTCTGGGAGAAGCAAAGGACCCTCCCAAGGTCCTCCAAGTTTTTCCCCTCATTAAACCATTTTTTAAAATCGGCACAAAGAAAACCAAATTCAAGGGCGTTGACGTTCAAAGCAATCTGCATCTAGGAGGCGTGCGTGTGAGCAGGTGAGCAGCGGCTATTGAACTAGCCTAGGCCTTTGGCCCCTTAGAGTCCCCACGCCCACCGCACAGGCCCCAATGTGAGGGAGGGGTGGGGGTCCCTGGCAAATTGCTATACTGGTCCCCTTCCTCTTTAAGCACCACCCAATCCCACCTCCCAGGGGCTTGTGTCACTTGGCCCAAGGAAGCACTATGGACAGGGGTCACTTGAGTAACCCAACCGTGATCCCACGCTGCACTTTGGTCCCAAGCTGGGGCTGGGAAGGCAGGGCCTGGCAGGCACAGGACTCTGGCAGAGCAGTGAGGAAGAGTAGGGGCGGAGAGCATGTGCACACACAGGCCCACCACCTGCAGGATAAAGGGGGGCTGGTTCTCCAACTGGCGAAAGTGCTGAAAAGAGGGGACCCACCCTGGGGGGAGAAGCAGCAAATCCCAGGCCTTCTCTTTTTAGTGCCAGGAAAACACTAAACATAAGTGGGTACAGCCTCTTGCTATGAAGAGAAGGGGGTGGCATGTGCTCCCAAAATATAGGAACTCAGGAGGCACAGCACACCTCCAGGCTGGGCAGGTTCAAATCAAGGTAATCCAAGTGCCCCTGTCTCAGCCTCTGCCTTGCCAGGAAATGACTGTCTACACTAATGAAGAGCTACTGCCCCTACGGCTGAAGCCACAGAACAGTACAGGAGAGAAGACAGTCATTACTGACCAGAAACAAGCAAGCTGTCCCTCCCAGCCCCAAGGAATGGGAACCTGCCCACCACTGGCACCAGGGTCAGAGGGCTGAGACATGGGATCCATCAAGGAACCCATTTAAGATGCATGAGGCTGCCTCAGGACCAGGAAGTTATCCATCAGTTACCAAGGCTTCTCACAGAGTCTAGCAAGCTTACCTTTAATGCCCAAACAGGGATATGCCCAAAGTGACAATGACAGTGGCCCCTAGGTTCAGAGGTAAGGGCACTAACCTTGGCAATGGTTAGGTAAGTGCAGTGTCACCTCCTGGCCAAAAGTATTAGAAGTGGCAGGCCTCTGTGTCATTAAGGGCTGGCAGCAAAAACTAAGACCATGGAGAAGGGGTCACCCCTTGGGCCTTCACTGTACCACTGTAAGTACTGAGTGTTGAAGGGGCCACACTCCAGGCCCACAGAGAGGGTGCTGGGCCAGCAGGGAAATGCCTCCTACAATTAATTCTACCAGTTCTTTGAAAAAAGGCAGCGCCTGCTGAAGACGGGCCAGGGGCAAAAGCTCACCTCAGAAATGGGAGAGAATATTTTGCTGAGGAAAGCATGAAGGAAATCAATATTTACTAATGAACAAGGCTACATCCCAGGGGAAGGATCCCGAGACGGGCTGGCAGATGGACAGAGACTGATGGACTCCAGGACTGGTAAGACAAAACTCAGCAATACCTGGGCACCTGCACCCAGGGCGCAGACAACGTCCCTACGTGCAGACAAGCCTGGAGATCCTTAAATGGGCTGCTGCCTTGAGCTTGGCCTGGGGAAAGGTGAGACCCTGAGCGGACCACAGCCCCTGAGCCCTGGGAGGAGCAGCCCATCCACAGGCAGCACAGCTGCCCACACCAGAGAAAGGGGACTCCCAGCCCCACAGCACAAGAACTGCAAATACTGTCTCGCCAGAGTCACCAGAGGCCCTGAGGCCTGCTGGGACACTGACTCTCCTTGGCAGGGGGGCAAGAGGGCGTGGCCTCCTTAGGCAAGGGATCTTGGTGAGAAAGGCTGGCTGGGGTGTGCAGGCAGGAAAAGGAGCAGGTTCAAGTGCCAAAGGGGGCCTGGGAACCCCGGGGCCTGCCCTCTGCCATAAGCTGACTTCAGCGCAGCTTCATGAATCTAGCCTCATGCTAAGAACAGAACTGAGTTGGATGGGTCCAGCTGTGCACAGCTGGTCTTGTAGTGCCCTGGGGGCATCAGTCAAAGAGCGGCTGACACCCACAACACTAGAATATGTCCCCTAGAGATGGGCACCTAATCCCTCTACTTCTGAGGAACAAGGGATGGGTGGGCATGGAGGGGCCCTGCGCGAGCCCAGGGCTTCACCCCACAATCAGCAGGGCCCTGTAGCCACAGACCCCAAAAACCTAGGCAAGAGAAACCAATGTCCAAGGGTACCCTGTCCCTGCTGCCAAGCCCACCAGGGGCACCTCTGCTAAGTCAGCCTGGACACAGCAGTCAGAGCTGTAGAGCTAAGGAGCCTGGCTGAGAGGATGTGTGTTCTGCTCTCTTCTATATATATATGGATTCCAGGCTACAGCTAAAAACATTTCTTTTAGTTTATACCCAAGAGAAATATAACCCTTTAAAAGCAAGTCTGTGTGTCCTCACGGCGAGTTCAGATCAATGGTCCCTGCCTGCGGGTGGAGAGGAAGGGGTTCCGAGGGCCCAGAACTGGGCCTACTGGTTCTCGTCCTGCATCTGTTCCATGATGCTGATGAGGTTCTCCAGGCCAAACACATAGCCTCGGTCAGGCCCGTCATGCACGGTGGGGTCATCCCGGAAGCCCTTGAACGTGCTGTGTGCAAAGTCGATCATGCGGACATCCACCTTGGGTGGAGAGGAGGAGCTTGCCTCGGGGCTGGTGCTGCAGGGGCTGGTGCTAGGGCCACAGGGTGATGCCACCTCAGGCAGCCCTGTGTCCAGGTGCTTGAGACGCATCTCGGACCGGCGGTCCAGGCAGGACTCAGCCCAGCACTCCTTGCCATCATAGATGACAAGCAGGGAACTGGAGTAGAAGCGGTAGGAGGCCTGCCGCTCCAGTACCGCTTTCAGGCCCCGCAGTTTGCTCAGGATGGGCTCAAAAAGGTCACGTCGCAGGTCCAAGCCGTTGTGCAGGTACTGATAGAGGGCGTTGCGGAAGCCTTCAATGGATAGCCCGCGGCCATAGTACTTGTTTCTGCAGAGGTAATGCCCTGTGTCCAGCTGGTACACCTGAAACCCCAGGAAACAGACAAGGGTGAGTGCCAGGAGGTCTGATGACTGCATAGCGCCCTGGACAAGCACTGTCTGGAAAGCACTGCTAATCAGCCTGAGCTTTTCTAACCCTACACAACTGAGTTGGCAGGCCAGGTTCATCCTAAGTTTTCCTGCAATAAAGCCAGGAGAGAGACCAGGCCTGCAGGTTCTGCACCATCACCTTTGAAATCCTTTTCCAAGCTGCCCTGCGACTGGACTCAAACTAGGAACATCGTACTGACAGACAAGAGTCTTACTTGTCCCAATGTCAGGGCAACAGGCTCTCAGAGCAGCTCTGTACCTGGAGCCCAGACCAAAGTCACCAGACAAGGACAAGAGGGCTCAAGGAACATACATACAAGGATGCACTCAGCACCCCCTGGGGGCCTCACTCTCGGAGGAGATTCTGGACAATGTGGACAAGGAGAGCACGTGGCATGGGCAGCAGCAGGCACAAGGGCAACCTAAAACCCGCCAGCAGCAGCTCCTAGGCTCTCACCTGCATGCCGCAGACGCGGACCCCCAGCGTGGCTGACGTGCTCTGCTCGCACTTCCTCATCTGCCGGGCTGCCTTCTCGGCCGACGCATCGTCGCCGTGCTGCCGGGTGCCCATCTTCAGGTCCAGCACACAGGGGTACTTGAAGTGGTGCACCACGTTCTCCAGCAGGAGGAACTCTGCGCCACGGTCAGGAACGACAACCACTCTCACCGTGCACCCCCGCCAGGAAAGCACAAGCAAGTTTTTCCACAAAAGGGGGCATTCTCGTCTAATGTAATCTGTATTCACATCCCAAACTCTCAAATGTGGACTTCGCACTACTGGCTTATTTCTTTTTTTAAAAGTTTTATCGTGGTAAAACACACGTAACATAAAATTTGCCATTTTAAACATTTTAAGTGTGCAGTTCAGTGGCATTAAGTAGATTCACATTATTGCGCAACCGCCACCACCGCCCATCTCTAGAACTTCATCTTCCCAAACTGAAACCAGAAGCTGTGCCCACTGAGCACCAACTCCCCTCCCCTCCCCTCTCCAGCTCCCGGCGGCCTCTATCGTTTCTGTCTCTAGGAGTCTGTCTACTCTAGGTACTTCATGTAAGTGGAGTCACAGAGTCACTGTCGTTCTGTGTCTGGCTATATCGCTTAGCAAAATGTTTTCAAGGTTTCTCTATATTGTAGTATGACAAACTCCATGCCTTTTTATGGCTAAATGATATGCCACTTGCTGTCCACACCACACCTGTTGGAGTCGTCACTCTCTCATTCTTCAGATGTCCTGAAGGCATACACAAACTACAGAAGGTTCTGACAGACTCACATATATCCCTGCACCATCAGTAAACAAGGCCCCACTCCAGGCCTGAGAAATCTTTGTAGTACTACTATAAAAATGAGAAATCAGACTTTACATTTCCAATTAGGAATCTTTAGAAGAAGCTGGTTTAAATTTCTATCTTGCCATTTTCTGACTTAACTTGAAACCAGTGGACTATATATTTAAAGCTTGTCCCTTAGTACTTCTAGGACCTTCTGCTCAAAACGGCTCTATGGTCATTTACATCCATGTCTTCATCTAAATTTGTCTGCAACAATCTTTTTTAATCCTCACCGAGGATATGCTTTTTATTGATTTTAGAGAGGGAAGGGGGGAGAAAGAGAGAAACATCAGTATGAGAAAGAAACACTGATCCTGTATGTGCCCCGACCAGGCATCGAGCCCGCAACTTTCTGGTGTGCGGGACAACACTCCAACCGAGCCACCCGGCCAGGGCTGTCTGCAACAACCTTGGATAAAGGTACAGGCTCTTCAGATATCTGCCAAATGTCACTGGGACTCACAGCCTAGGCCTCAATTCCATTGGGGACGATGACACATCACACAGCCTCAGTGGATAAGATACTCAGCATCACTCTGATGAACATTTTAACACCTCCTAATTCTTTAAAGAATAACTTACAGCCCAGCCAGGCTTGGCTCAGTGGTTGAGCATCAACCTAGGATCCAGGCGATCAGGGTTCGATTCCCGGTCAGGGCACATGCCCGGGTTACGGGCTCCATCCCCCAGTCAGGGGTGTGCAGGAGGTAGCTGATCAATGACTCTCTCATCACTGATGTTTCTATCTCTCTCTCCCTCTCCTTTCCTCTCTCTCAAGTCAATAAAGATATATATTTAAAAAAAAAAAAAAAAAAAAAAAACCTTAAAA